TACATTGTGTATTCTTTCCTGCGCAGCCGGAATCGAGAAGAACGTATAATCTCTACTGTACAAATTTCCTTGTCGCTTTTTCACCCTCTTCTCAATTCACCAAACCGTAATTGTTCTTTCTAAAGCTTAGTTCCCCTCTCGTATCGTGTCATTAGCTGCCTATTTAGATTACTAAGCCAGATTAATCTTCGCCTATAATTCTAGGCTGACAGTTCCTGCCTGCCTCATCATTATCCTTGCGGGATCGCAGCTGCCGATGGAGCAACGATGAGTTCATTTACCTGCGTCATGAAGAATTTGCACCGCCTGTCTACACTGGAAATGTCTTCTCAGATTTCGCCCCGTAATGGTCTCCGAGAAGTCTCCGAACCAAAAATCTATACTATATAATGGTATTCTTTCCTGCGACATGACAGAGAGTATCTAAGTTACACTACTCGCATTCCTATCTAATAAAAGTTAGTTCCCGCTTCCGTATCCTGTCCTATTAGCTGCCATTTAAGATTACTTAGATTAAATCTTTCGCATAATTCTAGCAATTCCTGCCCAGTCATTATTGATGACGCGAGTCTTTGGCTTTTTCTGGAATTCGCTCTCGCTTCTTGCCGGTCGAAGTCCGAAAAAACTTTTGTCGTTATGTTAGATATTTTTATTTTATTGTTGCCGTGTTTCATTGGCAATTCGAGGCATTCATGTCCCCCCTAACACAGGTAAATTTGTACTTGGGTACGTCAGCAGTACATATCTAGGAAATCATTGGATTTCGCCGAAGGATTCCGGAGTATAATACCGCGATTCCCTGTGGGTGACGTAGATAACCACAATTGCAATATCTATAATTTTGCAATACTAGTCTAATACAAGGGAAATTGTCTGAGTTGGTCTTAATTTCATTAATAAACTGCATTAAGCTAGTCCCGAAAAATGCAGCGCAAACACCACGCCCGGGTACCGACGGCCCTTTCTCCATCTACGTTTTTTTATTTATCCATATGGCTGTAAAACGGCAGACACAGCTAACGTTTCAACCCTCCTTCCACAAGTTTCAACAATACCAAATTACATCAAACGTATTAATGTAGCCATGGAAGTCTGATACCGAGGCTTAGAGCCCTAGACTTTGATGTTTCCAACACACCTATTCTTAAAAACCTATTCTTGCCTATTTGGTGCAATGTTGGGCAACCGGACTCACCGCGAGCTTTCTGCTGCTGGGGCGCGTTGGCTGCATCGCTCGTACGCGGACCTCGCTCGCGTTTTCGGCGCGGCCGCCCGGCACTCAACGATTGCCGCGAGCTCGCGGGAAATGCCTCGAGCGCGAACCGCCGGCGCGAACGTGACCGCGATTGCCTCCGCCCTCGATGCGTGGGGTGCAGAGGTCGTCCGCTGCCGTCCCGATCCGAGGCGCAGCTGGCGGTGCGGCCGCTGTCCCGGCCACGGGCCGCGCGCGGGGCGGCCGCGAGCGGCGCCCCGATTCCTCGAAGGGGCTGTCGCGCCCTCCTGGGTTCTGCCCCTCGGAGTTTCACGGGGCCCGCCGCCCACCCCCTCCCAAGCCGCGGGCGGGCCGCCAGCTCGCTCAGGCTGAAGCTGCGCCTGCCACGACAAGCTTTGTCGAAACGAAAATAGACGCTTCCTCCCGCTGCTTTCGGCCTCCTGCAAATTGTTGGAATCAACGCCTTACGCGTTTGTCCCCGCACTGCCGCAGCTCAAGTCCTCTCGGACGCGCACCATGCTATTTCTGGGAAGAGATGCTCACCGGGCTGCGCGCAGCATCTCCTCCCGTTTCCTGAATGAGGCCAGCTTGGCACAATCATGCGCGGTCTGTCCCTCACGCCGGGCCGCCGGTCGCGGTGCGCGCGCTCGAGTATCTTGAAGCTCCAGCCTGACACCTAGCTGGCTCAGCTACAAAACCCAGAATACATCTTTCCGAATGCCGCCCATGATCGTTCTCTGCTCTGGGATGCAGTAACAATGATATTGTTACGAGCGATTGGTTTTCAAGGTAATCCACCTTTGCGCACCAACCGCTCGTTGGCTGTCTGCAGCGACTGCACACTGTCGCCTCTGCCGACGTCACCCTAGCCTGTAATGAAATCGAGCCTATGCAATCATCTCCTTATGGTTTACGATTCAAGATGTCGATGATCTCGGCGTTAGTGGGGGGGCGGGATTCAGCTTCCACCCCACCGAATCGCCAAAAGCACGCGCCATCCACAGCCGGCCCAGCACGCTCGCAAGTAGCCGCCAGCGCCCTGCGGGGCTGTCCGCCGGGACCGCCACTGCGCGGCAGGTAGCCCCTCACCCAGGGAACCGATAGCCCGCCCTGCCACTGTTCTGTTCGAGACCATCCTGCACGCAGGTCGAAAACACGTCCGCTCGGCTCGGCGTCTGGAAGTGAGACTGGTTATATTTAAATATAACCTTTAGGTTGGCATAAATTAACGAGGAAATTGTGATATTTTTTTCACTTACAAATACAGCCATTGTTATTATTTTGACATTCTTTAGTTGATTAAAAATGATTATTATTTTTTATATTATAACTTTTGCCCTAAATGATTCAGCGTTTTTGAACATATTTATATATATTTATATTTGAATATATTTTTACATTTTTATTATTGAAGAATGTTTATATAAAATGTCAATTTATTACCAATACTGTAACGAATGTATTCTGTAAATGTTAATAAATTTTTAACAAGAGTTAAACAATGGAGAAAATATATTAACTACAGAATATGTACATTTTCGGCAAACCCATTTGAAAAAAACTCTGTATTTGCAACTGCTCTACTAAAACATTCCGGCACCATATTTTGGATAGTTTTTTAGAGGAAAAGACTGATGCTACCAACGTATGAACAAGAGTATGTTTCAATAACTCATTAACATGCCAACAAGTGTCCAAAATTACGAAATTACGATAGCCGTACCTGTATTCAGTGTCAGAAAAGGGGGCGCGACTCATGCGCACTAGGACATTTAAATAAGAATTAAAGGGATTTCCAGGCGTCCTAGAAGAAACATGTTAATATATTTGAAAAGAGCAAGGTGTGAATTATTTATTTGGACAGAAACGAAAATAGGTCATTTGACCCATTTCATGGTACCCTCTTCCCTTAAAACATGAATGTTCTTGATTCTTCATAATTCTCTAGTTTTCATTGATGATTTTAAGTTTTTGTGTACATTAGCTTCCGTTCACCGCACAGAAATAAGAGATGATCTTCGGGAAAAAAATTACATCCAGAGAAAATGTACAACTGAAATTTTGGGTGTTCCCTTTCCTTCATGTGTAAATTTGAGTTAAGCACATTCAATATTCATCTAAGGACTCAATGTCAGTATCAATATCACTAGAATCGATTATTCTTTTGATAAAATACACTAACATTAAACAGCGTAAACGTACGTAATTACAATTCATTTGTTCCCCTAACAGTAAAGTGATATTTGAAAACACTAATTTTTGCTAAATGCTAAATTTCATAACGCTGGTCGGATGTGTTCCGAATTGGTTTTTATTCACTCATTCTCAAGATACTAAAGTCATTTTGCAGAAACATGTGGTTATTTACGCAACAATAAAGAATAAAAAATATCAGATACATTTTGGTGAATCCTTATTTTCCTAGGTGCAGATTATTTTTAAAGAAGCTGGTTTTACATTTGTTTTTTAAATAATTTCGTTTCAGATATTTAAAAATTGTATTATTTCATGGTTTCTTTGACACTTCATCCACTATGCATGAAAATTGAATCAACGATATTAACAGTACTTCCTCGTTCTTTGTAATTTTGTGGGAACCTAGCCCTTTGTCGTTTTGCTAGAGAAAGCGATATGGCAGCTCTGGTGGAGTAAATCGAATCCATCATAAAACAAATAATTTGTGATTTGTTCTTGAAAAATGTACTTACAAGAGCAAGTATTCTCTTGTTTTCACTTTTAAATAATGTATAGAAAGACATGTTTTCTGTGGTATATCTATTGTTTTCATTTAGGGATTCAATAATATGAAGCTCATATTGATTTGTCAAAAGTGAGTCACCGTTCTTTCTTTTTGACTAGCACATGGTACGCTTTCTATACAGAAGAAAGTTTACGCTTCACAAGGATAAACTTTTTCAAGACGAATGTATCGCGTTTGGACAACACAAATCTTCAATAGTCATCACCGGAGAAATGAATGAAGAATTTAATCGGAAATTAAAAATCAGAAGCACGGTATTTGGCACAGTTTAAAAAATATATTTCATAAGTCACGAAATGAAGAACATTTGTCTTGGAATTTTCTAATTCATCTTCATTTTTTTGTCATCAAGTTTCATGTTCAGAAAAAAAGGTCAGAAATTTTTTTTCACATCGTCCATGGAATATCGAGAGGTCCGAAAATGGCATATCATCAGCATTTAACCCCTTTTTACCGCTACATTTGTACAATGTGCTACAAATGTGCTCTAATCATTAGGCCATCAGTACATACATCCATACACTAAACATGTTTGTATTTTGCTTTACATTTTCTATTTAAAAGTTGGATAGTACACTATTTTGTTCAAAATAGTTGTAACTCATCCTGGTTACCACGTGGATCACCTTGTAAACCTGGTAGATGGAATGTCAAGGTTTATCAGCCCAAACATTAATGTTTTTTATCAGTTCAAAATTTATATTAACATCGTATGTAGTTCTATTATCAACTGCGTTTCTTGGATAAAAACGTCAGTCATATTGTCATCATTAAGTAATATATCTTTGGCCGTTTCCGAAGCTTAATCTGCTAGATCGTCAGTTAACATCACCAGACTCTTCTTCAATATTTAACTACTTAATATTTGTTCCACAATGGAGATATATGTTTCGTGGGCAAAGCTTGTATGTTGAAAGGATATAGAAAGATTAAAAGAGCTGAATATAACTACACTATTGTGACGTATGGTGGGTCGTATCCGATCCCATCAGACCCACGTTCTAACTAAAACCGTTACTATTAAATCATAACACGGGCCGAGTACTGGATCAGCAAGGACGGTTCGTGAATAAATTAATGACAAGACAGTAAGATCACGTGTTTTCCAGAGAAAAACGGAGGTAGAATTTGAAAATCAATCTTCCCAGAGGCCGCATCCGACCTGAACCTTACTGTTTGAGTGTTAAAGAACATTGTACATTTCGCCCACATTTCTGGTGGACTTGAAAAAAATACTTACTGTGCCAATAAGAATACGAATTTTCATCTTCAGACGAATCAGATCGCATAGATCGCAGACTACAAAGACCAAAATCTGTGATCTTAAGTACAAAGCGGCTATCCACTACACAGTTTGAGGATTTCAAATTCCCATGTGACCGCATGTCGCTGCTGTGTAAGTAGCACATTCCCTGTAAAAAAGAAAAGTATTAAAATATACTTTCACATAACATAAGTAATAGTCGTAGTATTATAATAGTTATTGATGGACAATGATAGAGAAACAAAAGTATATTATGATAAATAAATAGAGATATTTTCAGGTATCAATATTTTAATTCAACTAATGATCATTTCGATCGCGTAGCGATCATCCTCAGAGCTTGCAGCTTCTGGGCCGAAAACAAAGTTTGTTTTCGGCCCAGAAGCTGCAAGCTCTGAGGATGATCGCTACGCGATCGAAATGATCACTAGTTGAATTAAAATATTGATACCTGACAATATCTCTATTTATTTATCAAAAAAAGGTATTTACTTCACCAACAATCCAATTAATAAAATTATATTAATCAGTTGGAACACATCAGGACACATACGACTGGGTGGCTGAGCACAACAGCTATCGCCACTGCAGAAACTGTTACCGGGAGGTCTTAGGGTTTGAGTCCCGTCGAGGTTGATTTTTGACACTAGCTAGATAGTTTGTTCAGATTCAACCATTGCCCAGAGAAAAATTCTAGTGGTCAGCTACTCTGGTTCGTAGTTTTCCGTGGTTTCTATGATCAAGAACAGGCCCGAGCAGAACCTTAACAAATGCGGCCCGGACCGCAAGCGATTGTCCCTTCTTCATTCTTGTCCCGACCTCTTCTTATACGCAAATTATATCTTATCCTACTCTTACACGCACAATACTACGACCCATGTCGGGGGCTTAGAGCCTATCTCGGCTGCGTCTCTGGTGTAGATACCTGGAGGGGGAACCTGCGCAAGCCGATATGTAGGTCGGCGCCGGGCCTCATGGTGAAGCAGAGGAGGAACATGGCAACCTCCCACGATATAAGATGCACTGCACTTACATGACTTATGACCATAGCAGTGGACGTGCCCCAAAACAAAATAATCCATCAATCAGGACGCAGAGAAAATTCATTACGATAATTCGCAATAATATAGGAGTAAAATGTAACTGTTTAAATTGTATTATCTGGTTCAAATTCCAGTTAAAAGATTTGAACATAAAAGCCATAACAGCTAGAAACTACTGATTAAAACTAAAGGTTTTATTTAAGAATATACCTATCCATATTATTTGTAGAATAAATTAGAGTGTGCCAGTAAAATAAAATTAGTAATTTTGATGATGGGCAAGGAACACTAAAACAAACACAAGATAGACACACGAGAGTAAACTTTAAAAAATGGAAATAACCTACAGTTGAATATAATTGTGATGTTTTATAGATCAGCCATTCCATATAAAAGAGGAAAATGTGAAAAAAAATATATATAATCTTCAATTTAGAAAGTATACATCCTCTCCAAGTTCAAATTTTATGATTTATAAACGAAAACGTGACAAAATGCATTTTTGAAGTACTTTTTTAATTAGTGAAATCAAGTATTTTAGGCAATAAATATTTAGCACAAAATTGATTTAATGTTCGTAGATCGTTATTGTGGCGACTCAACTCTATTCTGCTCCAAAACAGCATTCAGATTGTAGATTAATACACTATTTTCGGTTTTCTTTAATGTCAAGAAATTTGGTAAGTAACTAATATTTCATGAATTAAATTGTTAAAGATGATTAATCAGAGTTAGAGTAATGATAATGAAAGTTAAAGTTATGGTAATTAAATTTTCAGTCTAACGTCTGTAACAAAAATAGTTACAAACGTTTTTCTTACGTAGTGTAAAAGTGCACTTGTTTTATAGTGTTCTTTTAGTAACAAGGCTTCTATAAATATGATTTAATATTTATTCTGAATAAGAGTTTTAAATATTAGAGTGTTACGGATGTAACAAACATTTTATTAATTTTTTGAAAACCTATACAATTAGAATTATTTTGATAAAATTCGTGCGTTTTCAGATTACATTGTATCATTATTTCATAGTCCTTTATCTGTATTAATTAATTTAATTATTAGTAATGTTAATTATCCACATTATACTACTAAATACTTTTTCCTAAAGAATAAATCATTTTAGTTTGTATCGGAAACCATATAATTTTATTGTCATGCTTTCCTAATTCATATTGTTTGCCATTCAGAAAAGAAAGGGATATTGCAGCATTCATTATTGTTTACAGAGCAATTCACCTACATCTTCAGCTGCAAGAGTTGCTAAATAAGGTAAAATTTGAAGAATGAAAATGTAGAAAAATGGATCGAATTTCTTGAGAAGAATAGAAATATAAATTTATTAAAAAAGCAAGAGGATAAATAATCTTTAAAAAATGAAAAAATGATCAAATAGAAAAGGTAAATAACACGAATAAGAATTCAGAATAGGCATAGAAATGTCTGGAAAAGAATTTACAAAACAGAATGAAAACACCTGAAAAATTGTAGGTTTATATGCATCAACAAGCACTCTTTTGAAAGTTGTACGTAAATCAAGGAAGAACCTTCCATATAGCCCACGAAAGAAAAAAGCAGTTGGCTAGCTTGTGAAAGAGTCATTCAGAGGTACTCTTGATTTGTATAATGATACAAAAAGGTCGAGATGTCGCATGACTCTCGAATGGGTTCAAGAGAATTAAGAGAATATCAAAGAGTTTTTTGAATCAGATAAAGAAAAGCTGGCAAGCATTGGGTAAAAAAGATTATGAGTGTGTTAAAAACAAAAAATAATAAGAAAACAAAACAAAAAAAGGACAAAAAGTTCGAACGCCAAACCGCTACCTATTGACTATTTAGAAGTCTACGCACTTCATATGTAAAAACTATAAAAAATACTCGTTATAAGTTTCACCAGTTGCACTCTGACCAAGAGAAGACTCGCCCCGATGATGCCCCGAATCAAGATTTCTTCCACGTATGTGAATTTTCATTAACCTAAATATCAATTTACGAGATGATGTGCTATAGGTTTGAACAAGAGATTGAAATCAATTAAATACCTTCGGGTAGAAACTTCCATAATCTTGAGAGATTTGATGAGAAATACTTTTTGGTAAGCTTTACTAATAACTCAGAACGAACGAAAATACAAGTTGTTTTTCCTAAGAAAACAATATAAAATTACTGTAATTATAATTATTAAAATTTAATGTCATTAAGAGAAATTTATGCAATACGTTGCTTTGAGTTGTCATGTGTAACATACGTAACAAATTAGAGTGTAACGTGTGTAAGAATATAAAACTTAAAAAATAATTAAATAATTTCATTATTATCTACTAAATAATATGTGAACACCAAATCCAGCAATCGGAAAAAAATTATTTAATTTGATGGAGTAGTGGGCCTGAATTTTTCTTAAAAAATTCATCAGCCGGCTTAAGACTTCCCAAATTTTGTAACGTAAGTATCACTACTATTCTTTTATTATATTTAAAATTAATTAAAGAAAATGTAGGACATATCCTGAAATGAAGTCATTTCTTTCTTATAGCTACCCATATTAAAATAAATACACTAAATTCTTCTTGAAAGATGTAAGAACAAAAAAAATGTATTGTTCGTAACAAATGGAATGGCTGAGTTATAAATATACGCCATTGAGTACAATCACTACTATTAATATTAATTTTGAGATTATTTCTAATTTATTTTTTCTTCCAAACTAATTTACTAACACTTCCCTTATAATTGTGTCCTCACTTCAAAAATTAATTAGGACTTCAGCAATATGTTACGGAAATAAAATGCAACACCTATAAACTTTCCAACACAACCCTATCTTGACAACATTGCCCTTTTTTGAAACCATGTGAAGGTTTTGTAACTGAAGTATATTTTACAGTAACTATTAAGCTGCTATCAATATTCTTTTGTACGGCACACTTAAAATTTTTCAGTCCTCTTTTAGAACGAGAATATTTCCATACGAACTCTTGATAATTATTTTCGAGATATTGTCTATTTGAGAATTGATATCGAAAGAATTCATTCATGAGATTACGCAAGGAAATTCCATCTAAAAGTACTAGCCCAGTGAATACCGTGACCATTTGGGAGCTGAATATTAATGGATCGAATTACGAAAGTTTGCAGTCGCTGGGATTGAGCTATTTGTGAAAAAGTGAAAAAGGAACTAGTAAAATAATCAGAGATTGAAATAAAGTTAATAATCATGATTAATATTAAACCCGTTCACTAACCCAGAAGTTAGAAATGAACGATGAGGAGGAGTTTCGAAAATGTTATCATTAAGAAGATTTGTGTATTTTATGTCTAACAAGCTTTCAATTTCTCGCCTCTCTTCGTAAAAAATAATTTTTGTAATTGTAATTATATTATATTGTATTATAAAAATTGGTAATTTTTGGGAATATCTTATTGCCGCGCCCTGGTAACGAAAAAGTGGGTAACTTGTATTCCTCTGTGTAATAAATTAATTCTCCCTCCACATTGTGTTAACAGAGTCAATGAGATGCGTGTCTGTGATACCAAAAAATTTGTCCGTCATACGTTTCTGTCTGTTTTTCCGTCTTTTTGTGCGTCTGTCCGTCCGTGCATCTGTGGTCAGCGCAAGTGCTTAACTCGTTCAGACGATTTTGACGAAAATAGGTATTTTCAAACGATTTCAACCAATTCCTGACCCTACGAGGTTTATAGGGATATTTTTATTTTGTTATTAGTAAGTTTATGCTGTTAACGGTACTATACAAAAAGTCTGAACACCTTAAACATTATCGCAAAATGCTCCCCTTTTTTATTAAATTTTTTTCTCTGATAGTCTAAAGCACGATTAAAAATTATCCAAATGAAATTTTATTGCAATCTCTGAAGAACAAAGTTCGTTTAAAAAAGACTCTGGTCCCATTTTCGGCCAACTCTATATTCGAAAATTGCAAACTAAAATTCATCTTTGGTAATACCACGAGTGCTTTGGAAATTGTCGATAAATTCCCAACTCGCGAAGCGGGGAGATACTCGGCCTCGGATATGCGATAAACTTTTCGAGGTACACCGCCCTGATTGGAGGATTTTGTATGTATAGTTAAACACTATTAGTTTTA